GGAGGAGGGGTTGGTGTCCCCCTGTGCTAATCCTGGGCTAGGTCTTCAGAGAGACCCGGGAAACTTCAAGGAGGGGACGCCAAAGCTGTACTGCAGCTGAGCTCATTAGCCAGCACCCCCCCTCCCCAGGAGAAGGAGGGCGGGAGGCCCAGTGAGCTTGGCGGCAGAGAAAAGGCTGTCACTGTCCTTTCTTCCTTTTGGTACAAGCGTCTCCCTGAGCCTACGATTCTCCTGCAGTGACACCTCTCACGGGCACTAATGAGATCCATGCCACAGAGCTAATGCATTCTGACTGGACTCTGATAGACACCCCACTCACTCCTGTGGGGGAGACCACAGGCTAGTATTTCCTTCCACAGAGGGGGCACCCCTCCTCCCCCGGCCACCACCTGCCAGCTCAGCTCTTGCCAAACTATACTGGGCAGCAAGCTCCAGGAGAGTCCATTTGGTCTCTGGCCATGCCACCTGTGCCGTGTGCCTCAGCAGGACCCCCCTCAGCCTCAGAGCAGAGGGGCTCGGACCGCAGAGCAGGGCCACCCAGCTGGATTTCAGGGTCTGTTCCAGTTATTCTCGCCAGCTGAAACCTGCGGTCTGTGGGCTCTGTTACAATAGCAGATTTGACTGCTACTTGCTGTGTAGATTTCAGAAAGGAAAGAAGGGAAGAAACCCAAGGCTTGGTATGATTTTCTTTTCTCCTCCTCCTCCTCCTCCTCCTTCTCATCTTTCCCCACTCCCCTTGTCCTCTTCTTTCTTCTTCTTCTTTTGGTGCTAGAGACTGAACCTAGGGCCTTGCTCTTGCTGGCAAGAGCTCTACCACTGAGTTGCATCCCCACAAATCAGCAGGTGCAGCACTCTGGCTTCAGGGCAAAGACGTTTCAACAGGGCTGATGGACAGTAGCACCTGCCTTTCCTTCTTCAGCTGTTCAGGCCTATAAGGTTCCCATAATCTTAAGGAAAACAGGGAGAGGGAGAGGGAGTGTGAAGGCTGAGGGGAAAGTCTAGTGGGTGTGGTGGTTTCTCTCAAGCATGAGGATCTGAGTTTGATTCCCAGAATCCAGGTTTTTGTTGTTGTTGTTGTTGCTGTTTTCAAGTCAAAGCAATCACAAAGTTCAACACTGCAAAGGAGCAGCACTGGCAGGGCACAGGGATTGAGAAGTTGGTATTTATTTAACCCTGGTTCCTCAGTTCAACTGGCTGTGGGACTTTAAGCAAATCATTCAGCTAAGCTTCAGATTCTTCATCTCTAATAAGGGAAAGGTGATACCTACCCTCACATGAGTATTAGGGAAATTAGTTTATATACAACAATAGGAACACTTTGCTGACTGATGAAATGAAAGAAAGGCAGACAACTCAGCAGTCACTGTGAGGCCGTCCTGCCTTGGAGACAAGCTAACCAAGGGTGCTGACAGAGCTACACAGCCTTGGAATTTGGCGACAGTTAGCAGCTCTGCCACTGCAGCCCTCCCTCGTACACTAGGCTTCCAAAGCCAAACCGACCCCCTCCCTACTAAAATGTCTTGCTCATAACTGTCTAAAAGCCTTCCTGCTCAGTGCTCTAGCATCTCTGGATGCTCCTTAGCCATTCCTAAACTGTCATCTCCTTCAGTCCCCAATGCCAAGCTCAAAATTCTACCTGAAATTTCCATGGATACCAGGTACCATGTCTTCTATACCAATTAACTTGTGGCCCTGTCATAATTTTGTACACACAACAGCTGCAAAGCAAGCAGTTAATGGCTGAAAAGAAAGTCTAACCTGGATCCTTGACCCTTTTTCAGTGCTGCTCTGGCTCTCAATCACCTTTTTGTGCCTTTCTTTTGGCCTCCCTGTCCTGCAGACTCTTCTTCATCAGTCCTCCCCAAACAAAACAGCAGACCATTCTCAAAGCTCAAATTCGAACTGCCCCAAACACTCCTATGGCTCCCCTCAAACAACTCAAGATAAGCACTGTCTGGTCTTCCTCCCACCTATGCTGTTCCATAGCCTATCTCGCTGTCCTCCTCCTGTCACCTCACCCCTGCAGCAAGCCTGCCTCCTTGCACTCTTGAGTACCTCCACATCATCAATGTCATAGCCCCATGGCATTGTGGAAGAGCCAATCAGAGTCTGGAGATGGCTAAGTGGTGGGATCTGCACAATTCTTGTCTCGCGTCACCCAATGCTGCCTCATCCCCCACCCAATAATATACATACCATTCCCTACTCCAGCCTGGCAGCTCCTCACACAGTTAATTAGCACCATGTCACTGAGGACCAGCCTGAGTGGCCAGTGACAGGAGCTGACCCCTGACCCCAGGGCTGGGAAGCAGTCCACATCAAACTCTTACAGCCGACCCTTTTAGCACGCACAGTAACTCGGGGCACCGCCAGCTGAAGCTCATTAAAGCTGTCTCTTTGGTGCGAGGGCCATTAACCTCACTGCTCAAAACCCACGCCTCCCCTCCCTGCCTCTCCCAGCCCAATTAATGCCCTCCGTCCTCCCTCCCTCCCTTCCAAGCACCCTTACCCACACCTCGGAGCTAGCCAGGAGCTGGCAGGGCTGCCCTCTTCATTCAGATTGCATAGACCAAGTGCCAAGAAGGGCCAGTGCCCTGGCAGCCTCTGTCATTGGCAAAGCCATAGAGAGGGAGTTCCCTGAGCACCTACCTTGGGATGGGCCATACACAAGCCTTTCCCTGGGTTGCTCACTGGCCCCTCCCACTGTCCCAGGAGGCTGGCAGCACTGCCCCTCAGCTGAGGTCTCAGGGTTCTGTACAGGAAAGCTAGAACTATTTCTGGCTTCACCATTACTCAGAGCCGTCAGATGCCTCCTGGGCCAGAGAGGAAAATGTTCTTTAAATGGGAGGCCACCTCAGGAGTCCTAACCCAGGAGAACAGACAAGGAAGGTTATCACTGAGCCTCAAGAGGCAACAAAGAGTAGCAAGAGAAAGTTGTTCTCCTCACAAACACACCCTAGTCCAGACATACAGAAGCGGGACACTTAGCTCAACTCTGTGGAGGATGCCTTACCACAGGCCACCCCCAGACTCCATTGCTGCTAGCCCTCCTTCCTTGAATGGATGCAAGTCTTTTCAGTGGTCCTATTCTCCCTAGCCTCTCCCTTTTCTATCACTCTCCCACTGACCCATTTACTCACTAGCTTTTCATCCATCTAGCTACAAGATTTTATTGAGCAATTACTAAGAGCTAGCTTCGTGCAGTACAAACTGCTGTACTAATTCTGAATCAGAGTCCTGATCATGTCATTCTTTTTGTCTTCTAACATCCCCTCTGAATTATATTCAGGGAGGGAAGAATCATCTTTTAACCAGGATTCAAGACTCTGCTTCTAGCTATTTACTAATATTCCGTCTTAGGAAACTGCTTGCTGATGTCTAAACTTGTCTTCCCAATATGATGGGCTCTTTCAGGTCTTCAGGCTTTCTTTGTACACACATGTTCCCTGCTTAAATACTACTCCTTTGCTTTTCTATAATAAATAGAAAACTTATTTATTCTTCAAGATCTCAACTCAAGTATTTTTTCCTAGTACATTTTCTATTCGACCCTCAAGATTTATCACCTAGTTGGGTTTGGTGTCTCCTCTAGGCTACATGGAAACCCTTCTATGGGAAAGAACAGCAGTTATAGCAGGGTACCCTCAGAACCCCAGACCTTTTTCCCCCCGGGTACCTAGCAATGATAGAGGGCATCCTAGGAATCACTGCGCTGTAGATGAAGTAGATACCCTGGCAACTCAGAACAGGGAAGCTTCCCTAGTTTCCCAGATGTTTCTACCATAACAGTTGAGCATCTGGCTGGGAAACACCCATTTCAGGCTCTTTCCCTCCGCAGCATGCTGAGCACCCACTGGGCACTGACAGATGTGGAATGGGTAAGGGGGCTAATCTGTAGCAAGTGGCTGAGACCATCTACCATTCTGATGTTTTGCTCCCTCTCTACCCCTTTACCGATGATACCTTGTCAAAAGTAATCAAGTTCTAATGAAGCCATAATGTCACCAGGATCACCCTGGCTCCATCCCCTGGAACAATGCCTACAGCTGGTCATTTGTGTCCTTGGAACATCTGCACACACACCACACACAGAATAAGAGACACAGAAAAAAGACTTTCTTCTGACAGATACACGCAGGCTGGTGGCTGTTTCCATAATCAGACGCGTGCCCTCAAATAAACATGGATGTACTGTTAAGCATACCGCCTCTTCTAACAGGCATGCACAAAGATGGACACCTCATGCTCAGACTCGAAGACATACAGGCAAGCTGTCACACACAGACACGCTACTCCCTCCGACACATATTCACACTGATGTACCAGAAGATCGCAGAGCTGCCAACTCTGCGTAACTACAGCCACTCCCGTTTCTCCCGAGCACAGATCCCTGAGCGTTACCCCACCTGTTACCCCAAGTGCCCCTCCCAACCCAGGCACTGCTCAGTGGAGGCTGCTGCTCCTAAGGGGGAGTCGATACCCAGTGGACGAAGTCATCGGTCAGAAGGACCTAGACTAATTAAAAGCTGGTGAGGTTTAAATAATTCATCTCCTTAACTCCCATTGATCGTCCAGTTTAGTGGCCACAGACTTGAAACAATATTAAACAGCCTCCTCCAGCTCCACAGGGGGTGGGTAGGCTGACATGTGCCACATCCCTGAAGACACTGCCCACTAGGGATGCAGGCAATGGGGACAGACGACAGCACTGTGAATCCAAGACCACCTGTGACTCACCCAAAACCTATACTCCAGTCTCCTCTGAAATGTTTTGAGAGGTCCCTTCTAATTGCTCCAATCCATAAAGTCCTCACTCTGGCCCCCCTACCTCCTCCCTCCAGCCAATGACAAGAACCTTCCATAGGGTTGGGATGCTGACTGAGACACAGAAACCCTCTGTTTGCTGGGGTGGGGGCAGGGGGATGGGCTGAGGCATTTGGGCAGGGGACTGCCCGAGCTGCCGGGGGGGGGGGGGGGGGGGGGGTTGTGGAGGGACTGACCAATGCCGCTGTGGGGCCGGCCTATGTGTTGCAGGCTGAGGCCCTTGTTCATGTCTAGTAGTCCATTCTTGGGCCAGCAGCCCATGGCGAAGCTGTAAGCCTGGAAGACAGGAGGTTAAGAGTCATTAAAAAAGGTCCTGACCACTGAGCAAACCCCATTCACCAAGTCTCTCCCAAGTTCCCACTTCTTCCCCTCAGGGACTTGTAATACCACCTCATTAGAGCCCCCTCACCACGTTCCCTTTTTATCAAGCTGGTTCCCACCAGCAAGAAAGACCCCTTCTTTCTCTGATGTCTTCTTTCTCCTGGGCTTTCCCCTTCAGCAGCTGCCATCCTTGAGGGGTGACCCCTGCAGGGCTCCTTTCTATAATTCTGGCTTGCTAAGGTCTTTATGAGGAGTCTTCCCTTATCAGAGCACCCCCGCCCCCCACCCCTCCACATATTCCCATTCTAGAGCACCACAACTGTGCTGGGCTACTTCCCTTGGTATTACTGGTTACAAAGATCTGGTCTCAGGTAGGACCTATGAGATCAGTGTCTCCAAATTTTATTCCACAGACAGGAAAAAAAAAAAAAAAAAAAAAAAAAAGGAACTGGCCAATGACATGCCTATGGTCACACTGTTTTTGATTCTGCATAGGCAAAGTTGTGAAAAGCTTTAAGTGCTGTGTGAGAGCTCAATGAAAAGGAAGTAAGGTCACTAGGTCAACTCAAGCATCAGTGAGAGAAATACAGGGTGTGTTGTAAGTGTGTGTGTGTGCATGTGTGTGTGTGAGTGTGAGTGTGTGTGTGTTCTGTTGAAGGTCAAGTGCTCACTTATGCATATTCAAAGCGGCCACCCATTGATCTGTACTTAATTGTTTTCCTGGGGTTGGGGAGAGAGTGCTGGGGGCATCGATCTACTCAGGCCCCCAGCAGCTCCACCGCCCCTTCCACTCTCTGTCATACCATCTGGACTCCCTCTGTGGGGAACACATGGCAGGACAGGACCTGCCTTCCCTCAGTGGGGCAGGGCCAGCAGATTCTTCTCTCACTGCCATGAGAGGTCTAATGTCACAGATGAGGAAACTGAGGCCCAGAAGAAAGTGATTTGACCTATGTGACTTAGCCCTCTACAATGTGGCTGAGGGGGATTTCTTCCTTCTGAGCTTGCCAAAAAAAAAAAAAAAAAAAAAAAGTCCTGGGCTTCCACCAGCGGGCCTGATATCAAATAAAACATTTACCTATCCCTTCACTTCAAAAGTCACTGAACACAAAGCTGACCCTCCTCTAATGGCAGGAGGGTGAGAGCATGTGAGACAGTGGCAATGGGGATGAAACTTGGGTGAGTTGAGGTCGGTGACAGAACCAAAATGCCTGCCAGCCATGCTTAAATAAGCACTGGAGCGCCCACCTACATCTGGACCCAGCACTCCCACACAGAGAAAACCCAGTATAGGGTCAAAAGCAAGACGTGTGTGTGTGTGTGTGTGTGTGTGTGTGTGTGTGTGTGTGTGTGTG